GTGCATGGATTCATAGGGGGGGGGGGTGTTTAATAAAAGTGGAAAGTGAGTGCCCATAGGCCCCATAGCAGTTCCTTTTTGGGATTACCTTATAGGTTTCTAAGTATGAACCCCAAAAAGGAACTACTATGGGGCCTATGAGTAATCCAAAACCTTCGACACATTGCACGTGACTCCGGTCTGGCTGCTTTCCAGAGGCTTACCCTTAGCCCCCTCAGGTACCTACCATACTGAGCTTTGGAGTACCATACTTCAATACTTTGTTTTGGGACCTGTTCCTTAAAGGAGCCATTATGAAAAAAAGTCTATACTTCTTTCTCCCTGGTTACTTCAAAGCCCAGTATAGTAGGGCCCTTTTTAGTAGGTACCTGGGGGGTTAGGGTTACTTCAAGCTTCAAGAAATCACCCATCCCCCCTTCGGTACCCAGGTGAGCGTAGCAGTGTACGTCTCTTTCTGCAACGCAACTCTATCTTGCCGAAGACAAGCATTTAATACTAGTGCAAGCGCGGTACACTCTTCACGATTTATAATACTCCTACGTTCGAACAGTACACTTTGATAAGATTATGGGCATTATCCTTTGGAAGCTGGACACTCGAGGTGGATGGTGCGGCTGGGTCACTATAGTTCCAGCGGGAATTTGGGGTCAGGGCTTGAGGGGCAGCGTGTAACTGGGTTCTAGGAGCTGAATTAACACGGGCAAACGGGGGCTTCAGCCGCTTGAGATGGCAAGGGTTGTGTCTGTTTCGAAGCCAAGCCCGAGAGAGGCGGCGACGGTGTCCTCGTGAACTTGTTTTGGGGTAGCGGGTCATTTCTTTAGGAAAGTTTTGGGATGGGCTTCGGGTTGCCACTAAATGCTGGGCTTGTTATGCAGGGATCCGAGAAGGGTCATACGACGTGGGTTATCAAGCTGCACCTAATTAGGTCCCCTCGTTTTCTAAAACTCCCTTTCGAGAACTGACCATGGTGACCGTGAGCTGATGATGGTGATCAAGGGGTGATGGTGGAGGTGACGAGCGCTCCTCATCTCAGGTTACACTTAAAATCTTCGCTTTCGCCGAGATGAATTCCTGGGGTTGAGGTTTTGGGCGCGGCGGCCTGAAACGTCGCGTCCCTATGCTTGTGTGGTTACACACTTGCCGAGGGAATGACGGTTGACATGTCAGGGTTCCTGAATGCGGGATTTCAGGTCCGAGGCTGTTAATGAGGCTTAAACTTAAAATGTTGCGGCCTTGCAGGCATTGTCGACATCCTTGTCAGCTCTTGCTCCTGGCGGCGAAGGCTTTGTTCCCCAGTCTTCATGAAGTGCACCTGTTCCGAGCCGC